ATGCCTCCGCGTTTCGTTTCTGTGGCGTCGTTTAAAAAAAAGAAAAAAAGAAAGAAAAGGAGGCGGCCCGCCTAGTTACAGCAGAAATGACGCCTCTGCAATTCTGAGAGTCCCCAGCAAGCCGGGGCTAGTATAAAGCGAGGGCGGAACGAACGACTCCTCCCATCATGCCAGGGGGCGGCTCCGCGCGTCCCACCCTGGGAGTTATAGTCCCCTGCCCTTCAGATCCAGCGGCATGTCCTCAGCGTGTGAACTCTGTTACCCAGAAGGCCTCCAGCACCGAAGCTGGAATTCCTCGGTTACTCGTTCTCTCCGGCACTTAGCAGAACCTGTTAGCGCTGCCCACAAGGCTCAGCGGGACTGCGCGAGGCTAGTGGTTAATCAAGAGGAGCTTCGGTCAACTGCCACCTGGCCACGGCGACAGGAAGTGAGTACCCCTATTCCGGAAGCTGGTTTTGGGATCCCACCACTCCTTCTCACTCCCAAATCTGCCTCTTATCCCAAACTGCTCTTTGCAGGGGCGGGAGAAAGAAGAGTAGTGGGGTAAGGAACGCACCATTTAGGGTCACTCACGACTCCATCCCAGTTCTTCTCCCCCCCAACAAATAGTACCTGGGTTGAAGACACCGAGAGTAAGTGAAACCACCCGAGTCTGAGGTGACGATCTTCAGGGACTATACCTCGATCAATGCCCTGACCTTCCACAATTTAAGCGAGGAGAGAGATGAGCCCTGCCGCCAGCCCTAACAGAACATTAAGTTCTAAGGGAAAATTGGCTCAGCTACCGCCTCCTGACTTTTCCTACCTTCCAGCCCTCAGATTCGCTGCTACCCTTAGGTGCCTGCCATGCCTCACATCGACAACGACGTCAAACTGGACTTCAAGGATGTCCTGTTGAGGCCCAAACGCAGTACCCTTAAGTCTCGAAGTGAGGTGAGCCTGCTTCTCTAGTTGCTCTTTCTTGACCCCAGGCTCCTGGAGGGCCAGGACTGGGAAAGATTCCTGGCTTTTGCCCTCCTGCAATACTTGTTTTTTGGGTAAATGAAATGCTTAGTTTCCTGTTCATATCTGCAGGTGGATCTCACAAGATCCTTTTCATTTCGGAACTCAAAGCAGATGTACACTGGGATCCCCATCATTGCAGCCAATATGGATACTGTAGGCACCTTTGAGATGGCCAAGGTTCTCTGTAAGGTAGGACTTCCCTCATACCCCTTCCTCATGGTGTCCAGTTTTGTGGGCTGACTGCAGAGGTATCTGCATCCTCACCCCCATCCCAGGTCAACTCTGGCAGTTAACAGTCAGGATGCTCAATTTCTGTTTTCTGCAGTAGTACTAAGGCCCCTTTATCTGATAACTTTAAAGGGCCATCTGAGTTAATGAGATTCAAAGCTAAATTTTGCCCCCATTTTAACAGAACTTTCCCTTTTCTCCTGTCCAGCAGTTTATACATCCTGCCAACTTTTCCCACCACCCAGATCACCCTCTCCAAATCACCGGCATCCCTCTTTACACTATTGTTAGGATACTTAGCATTCACTCTTTTAGTCCAGAAACTAGATATAGTTTGAGCATTCAAAAATTCCTAACTAGAAGATCCTAGAGAGAAGTTTATTTTCTTTCATGCCTGTTTTTTTTTTTTTTTTTTTTTTTTTTAAATCTTCCTCTTCTTTAAGTCCTAGGTTCCTGGGTGTTTCTGGGATGTGCCCAAAATGGAATGTGTTTTTCTTATATACAGGTTATTGCTCATTTTCAAAATGGAAGCTGCTGCTCCTTTCAGTAATATTACCTGCCTCTATATTTGTAGCTGAGAAGGTAGATAGTTTGGGCATCCTGAGGACATATGCACTCTTCTGGTTAATCCAGGTAGCCCTGGTTGATGGATTCTGCTGCTGCTTGTGGCTCTGTCAGCCTTAAGGACTTCATCTCCCTTTCTCTATTTCTGATTGCTGTAAGTCCTTGTGGAATGTCTGCTGTCATTTCTCTGAGGTTCATAGTTATGCAGCTTTAGTACTGTATTACTATTGCCATTTACCAACTGCTTAGGAATCCCACTGTTGCCCGTTGTCCACCTGGCCTGTCCAATAGAGTTAAGGAATGGTGAATCTGACTTCAGTGTTAACAAATGTCCTATAATGTATGGACCTTGCCGGGACTGTCTTGATGCTTTGAGACTGGCTTTTCATTACTGCTGAGTGCTGAAGAAATCAGATTTTAGAGATACAGCCAAGTCTCAGTAATAATTAAAAGGTTGGATGCAAGCAAGGATCTTTTTCTAGATCTCTAGCTTGGTATGTAATTGGATATGCTCATCATGCCACTCTATGCCAGTGTATCTCCAAGGTCTGCTGACCTCCTAGAGTGATTTTTGTCTATTAGCATGTTGATGGCAGAGTGTTGCTGAGAAAGCACAGTTCAGTACCAGCGTTAGCTAGGTAGTGTTGATGATGATCTCTGAGTATTATAGCATTTGCACTTCCTTATTGCTGGCTGATGCTTGACTCCCTTGGGTCTCTTGTCTGTTGCAAGATTTGTGCTGTCTTGTCTATTTGCATGTCTGCACTTTTAAATCACAAACACCAGCATTCACAAGTGGCCTTTGAATGCCTTTCTCAAAGTATTGGGATGTTATTTGCAATTTGTTGAGCTAGGAAATACAAGTCTGATGAGTCATTATATCCTTGAACTTGGTTGACTGAAATAGACTGAATGAGATAGACTTTTCAGGTTGGTCCATGTCTCAAGAAAATTTGTCCTTTACTTTAGCAGAGATGGAGAAAGGGTAGCACCTTATTGACTGTTAACCTTAAGGCCTTACCTCTTGTAATTTTGTGAGCATTTAGGCTTACTGAATTACTGCTGGTAAATGGACCAAAAGATACTGCAAGTAGGTTAGCTCCGTACTAGGTTATCATAGGAGGGGCTGAGTCAGTGCAGGCAGACACTGGCTCCGTCCAGCCTCTTCATGGTTCTTTCTTGTCTACTGCTTGTCCCACTGCACCAACAGCTTGTCCTTGTCACCTTTTAACTCAGAAGCGCTGTACGTGCTGGCAGGTGAAATCCAATCCAGGTGACTTTAGTACTTTGGTGGGAGTGTTGGGCAAGTACTAGCTCATGGGGAAAAGCCCGACTGCATTTGTAGAGAGAATGATGGTGGAACTGAGGTTCGAGCTCAACCACTGACTTCTTCAAGTTGCTCTTTCCAGACTTCAGTCCTTTTGTCCCTCAGATAGGATAATATAAAGGTCTGTTTTTAGAAAAAGAGACTCTTAACGAAGTTCTCTCCTTTTTGATGGCTCTTTCTTCTCCCAGTTCTCCCTCTTCACTGCTGTCCATAAACACTACAGCCTCGAGCAGTGGAAAGAGTTTGCTAGCCAGAATCCTGACTGTCTTGAGGTAACACTGGTCCTCCCCTGATCCATTCCTTAGCCCAGTCTTCCAGGAATCCTTGTTTGGCTTCCTGGGGACCAGCCCTTACCTCCCCACCCCTGTTGGCTAACCAACCAGGTCATTTCTTACATGCTAATGGCCCTGTTTCTCTCACAGCATCTGGCTGCCAGCTCAGGCACAGGCTCTGCTGACTTTAAGCAGCTCGGACAGATCCTGGACGCTATTCCCCAGGTGAAATATGTATGCCTGGACGTGGCCAATGGCTACTCTGAACACTTTGTTGAATTTGTAAAGGATGTGCGGAAGCGCTTCCCTGAACACACCGTCATGGTATGTCTCTACTACCCTGTAGTGGGTCCATTCCTCTCCTTCCTCCACTCTTTCCCACCACACCATTTTGTTACACCAGTGTTCCTTTCTCCTCTGCTGCATTTCCTAGTCTGCTTAATCATGTCACTGGGTGATGATCCATGCTTTAAATGTTTGTGTACTGGCCAGTGCCGTCTTCTCCGAACCCTGATACCTAGTCTTTGTAAATCCAGTGTCCGACATAACTCACTAAACCACAATGGAACATTTCTGCATCGTACATACCTCTGGTACATACACACCTGCCCAAAGGTATGGAGAGATACTACAGTCATATTGAAGGGGTTGCATGAAATGTTTTATTTTATTTTATTTTTAAAAGCTCAGGGGAGTTATGACAACGCCTCACTTTCTTCTCAGCATTGAGGGGTCTCTCTGTTCTGTCCATCAAAAGCAAATACGATTGTGTATATGGATATTTAGCCGACATTACCATGTCCTCCCCCTTTCCCTGAAGCCAGAGAGGTTTCATGACATAACAGCTTAAGCAAAGGATGTGTTTGGGTCTTTTGGAGGGGAGAGGGAAATAAATCTACTGTAAATCAGATGTGAACTTGTTCCAGGTGGACCCCCGCTTTACCCTAGTACAACAGTGACACTGGCCACTCACCCCCTAACCTCAGCTTGGAAAGCAGGGTCCTTTGAAGTGACTGGTCTAAAAGCCCTCAGAGGGCCCAAATAGAGGGAACCGAGGTACTCTTCTTTGTAATAATGCTGGAAGCACGCGATCGGCTCTTTCTGACCCTAAGAATGCTCTGTTTTGATGGTTCTGTCCCAGGCAGGGAATGTGGTAACAGGAGAGATGGTGGAAGAGCTGATTCTCTCTGGGGCTGACATCATCAAAGTGGGAATTGGACCAGGTAAGCTGGTTCACTGGGGGCCACTGGCCACCACTTCAGTGGCAGACACCTGTGGAGAACTTCCCTCTCATTCTTGTCACGTTCTTCTCAGGCTCTGTGTGTACCACCCGGAAGAAGACCGGAGTGGGGTATCCACAGCTGAGCGCAGTGATGGAGTGCGCAGATGCTGCCCATGGCCTCAAAGGCCACATCATTTCCGTAAGGCCAAAAGCAGGGTAGGGTATGAGGCTGCCAGACATCTGGGTTCTCTGCCAGGTCTGGAGGCTCTGGTAGAGGTGGATCAGGACTCCTGGGTTCCTGTCAGCTTTGAGGTGGGCCACTGGGACCTCCTAGAGGGCTTGGGGCATCCATACTCTCCCTTCATAGTGCTCCTTACTTTGCAGGACGGAGGCTGCAACTGTCCCGGGGATGTGGCCAAGGCTTTCGGTAAGGAGGGCACAGGAGGATCCTGTAGAAGAGGATGAGTCACCTCTGAGGGTCTAGGATCAGGCTAGGGAAGTCTAAGAAAGCTGTTTAGATTCTTTTATAATATGACTAGTGACCCAGAAGCCTGTGGTGTCATCTGGGGCAAACCAGCAGGGGAAATCCTGAGACTCTGATGGGGACTCTCCTAATGTGGGCCAGGGCCATCTGCATCATCCCCTGGATTGCTGAGCCCCACCCTGGACCCATGGCATCTGGCTCTGGGGAGTGGGGCTACAGGTCTGCATTTTCCCAGCTTCCTAGGTGATCCTTGTTCACACTGAAGTTGGAGAGCTTTGCTCTTGGGACACTTGAAGTGAGTCTTGTTTGGCTGGGCAGAGTAAAAAGAGGTGACCAGAAGATGGCGAAAGCAGCAAAAAGGAGAGAGCAGAAGCCAGGCAGAACGTCCCCAGAGGGTCTATTTTAAACTCTTGGAAAGTCCACTGAGGAACAGAAGACAGGGCAGAGTAGGCCTGTGCACTGGGTTGTGGGCCAGCTAGGGAAACAAAACCAGGAAGATGCCGGAATCATTGGCAGGCCTGAGAATTTTGTGTGAGTTGCTTCTGAGGGTGACCATGTTGGAACCTGGGCCAGATTCATCTCTTTCTCGTCTTGTTGGTGCTGGCAGGGGCAGGGGCTGACTTCGTGATGCTGGGCGGCATGCTGGCTGGGCACAGCGAGTCAGGTGGTGAGCTCATCGAGAGGGATGGCAAGAAGTACAAGCTCTTCTATGGCATGAGTTCTGAAATGGCCATGAAGAAGTATGCCGGGGGCGTGGCTGAGTACAGGTAGGTGTGGAGGCCAGAAGCTGAGGGTTCTTGGAAAGCGTGACTTCCCAAGTAAGGTGGTGGCAGAACTTGGAAGAAAAGTGATGAACAGGGACTAAATGCTAGAGATTGGGGAAGAGTCATTGGGCTTAAGAAATCCAGACAGAAAAGGTAAGAAAGCTTTTCCTCTTCTAAGGGCCTCAGAGGGAAAGACAGTGGAGGTGCCCTTTAAAGGGGACGTGGAACATACTATCCGAGACATTCTTGGAGGCATCCGCTCCACCTGTACCTACGTGGGAGCAGCTAAGCTGAAGGAGCTGAGCCGGAGAACTACCTTCATCCGTGTCACCCAGCAGGTGAATCCGATCTTCAGTGACAAGAGCTAGACCTGAGCAGTTCTGCCCTCCCAGGGTGCCAGCACCCACCACAGGGCTCCCCAGTGGGCCCCTCTCCCATCCCAGCTACTAGGGCTATTACTTGGTCATTTCCTATCCTCTCTCTCCTAAGGGCTCCTGCAGTATTCTGTACTTTATCTGCACATGCAAAATGCCCAGGGCACCCACTGGGGAGGAAGCAAGGAAGGCAGGCTGAGAAAATAAAGTTAAGATAATCAAATGGGAATCTGGGGACCCAGAATCCTGAAGATTATTAAAAGGAAAAGATGCTGATTCATACATAAGTGTTTTATATGGCCTTGGTCTGGAAGAGGTAGGCTTTTAGAATCATGTTTTGTTAATCAGATTCGTTAAATAGATGTTTGAATATCTACAAAGCTCAGAAGTGTTTATGTATTTTAAATACCTCAATAAAGAGAGAGCCCAATGACTTTGAGATTCTGGGGATTTCTGCACAAGGATGGCATCTGGGTGCTGCTGCAGGGCAAGTGGAGGAGTTGGCACTGACCCAGTGGAGTCAAGGACAGTGAGTGCCCTTCCCATGAAGCATCTCCATTCTAGTGCTACCACCCCCAAGTAACCTGGCAGCGTGAGAATTTACAAGTATATTCTGGCATCACACCACACACAGTATTTTCAGAATAGCAAAAGGAAACTTCTCTTCTAGGCTCTCAGCCCTCGTAACCCTTTTGGGCATGTCTGAACAACACTCTCCAAGGGAAGTAAAATGGCAAAGGGATCCCCTTCCAGCCCTGGAGAGGCCGGTTCTGTTGCTAAGGAATGACCTACACTGACCTTATAGAAGCCTTAATTCCCCTCCCTCAAACGAAGACAGTGTTTTAACAAATCCAAAATTTAATTATTAAGTATTACAAAGTAACTTTAGCAATATAGTCAGGCAACCCAAGCCTGGACTTCCACTTTATTACCCCTAAACTGCGTGAGAGCTGAGGAGGAAGGAGACAGGCAGAGTGCCGTGGGCATTCCAGTCTAATCACAGCAGTCTAGAACTGTCTGTATGGTTAGGAAGAGAGACAGACACACCACTGGGGCCAGAAGGGGGGAGGTATTCACAGAAGGTGGGGATCAGGGTGTCAAACTTTGTCTTCTGATAGTTTTCCAGAGAGTCCTGCAGAGAAGGGAGCAGGGAGATCCTATCATCACTGAAACATGCCCTGAGCCCTCCATATCCTGCATCACATGGCTTTCTATCTTGTTCTGCCCACCCATCCCCTTCCCCAGCTTTCCATTCCTTCCTACTCACCCTTCCTTCCCTTTGGCCATTTTCTTCCTCGTCGGAGTCCAAAACCAGGTCCCCTATAGTAATGTCAGAGCTGCACAGAGATGGAGGACGCACTGCAGGGAGGAAACCAGAGTCCAAGTACTCTTCTCAGTGAACACAGGACCTCAAGAGTCCCCAAGAGAGGAGGCTGTCTGATCTGGTCCTGACTCAGGATACCTACCTGACTTCCTGGCCCTAGGAGGCGATAATGACAATCTCAGGGGTTCCATGGGGCAATCCAAGCAGTTCCTAGGGTGGGAGCAAGCAAGACAGGGTGAAAGGAAAGCAGGCAGGGCATGTGCTGCTAGTAGGGAGAAGCAACTGTTGTACTCACTCCTTTTGCTCTGAGGCAGACAAGTCATTTGGGTTCTCCTTCAGAGCCCTTCCTCCCAGGGTCTTGGACGGACTCCTAGACTTGCCAGTCGAGGCTGCTCTGGTGCCCACAGCACCTGCTGGATCTGCTGTGTGTGTCCCATGTTCTTCCCTGTTCCCAGGCTTAGATATGACCTGCGTTGGTGAACCCAGATTCCTAAAGGGGAACAGCATGACTGTGGGGCGCTCCTTATGGCCTCTGCTAGTGGATGCCCACCGGGACTGGATTCTTCGCCGGCCTAGAGGGGCCAGATTGAAATGGTGGCCAGTCAAAGGTTCCGGGTGCTTCCTTGAGGCTGGACCCTGAGGAAGGTGTGGGCCAGGCTGGGCTTTTGGCAGAGGGTCGTGGAGTGCTGGTGTTGGTTGCTGAGGAGGACTCTGCTCCATGGGCTCTGTCGTGTTCATTGAATCAGTAGCAGAGCACTCTGAAAAATAAAACAAATCTCTTTAAAAAGGCAATATAGTAACACATGGACTCAGCCTGGTTTCTTACGCCTCAGGCCCATGTAACCCTTCCAATAGGCTGCCTCAAAAGGTCGCAAGCTAAACACTCCACCCCCAAATTCTTAGTTCTCCTAGATGGTCCTGGTACCTGGAAGTGGCCACCCCATGTCCACACCATATTGGCTCAAGACAAAAGAAGAAGTGATAGAAACTCCAGGCTGCATCCAAGTCAGCACATCCTGAAGCTGTGGGCAGGGGGAGAGGCATGAAGACCACAGGCCTTGATACAACTCCACCCCCTACCCCCCACCCCAGCATTCTGCCCTTATGTGTTTTGCCCTAGCAAAACCTGCTGTGCCTGCAGTGTAGGCAGTGCTTTTTCCAGCTGACACAGGTATTCAAAAAACAGCTTTTCCATGGCAGCCAGAAAAAGTTCCCCGTACTCTTGTTCAAGTTCCTGCAGGAGGAAAAGAAGCAGGTCAACACACCACTGTAAAGCAATTATACTCCAATAAAGATGTTAAAAAAAATAAAAATAATAAAAAATAAATTATGTTGTACATTGTTGATGAATGTATACATTGAAGAAAAAAGCCTGAATGAATCTTCTCGATTGAAATCAGTAATGTTATTTATATTAAGCATTACTAATTTAAAATTGGGTAAACAACAAGGCCCTACTGTATAGTACAGGGAACTATATTCAATATCTTGTGATGAACCATAATGGAAAAGAATATAAAAAAGAATGTATGCATATGTATAACCGAATCACTTTGCTGTACAGCAGAAATCAACATTCTAAATCAACTATGCTTCAATTTAAAAAAACATTCAATTGTACATTTTGAATGGGTAAATTGTGTGATATATAAATTATATATCAATAAAGATGTTTTTAAAAGTTAAAAAAAAGAAGAAGCAGGTCAGAAGAGGACTAGAGAGAACAGCTACACCATAGCTTCCAAAGCAGCCAGTCCCACCTGTAGCTTCGAAGCCAAATCAACAGAGGCTTCTGCCAGCTGCTTCACCTGCTGGCAAAAGGTTTCCTGAGCCTCTGAGATCTTCCTCAGATCCTGCTTTGTCTGTTGAGGGTAAGGAAGGCAAACAAGTTAGGGGCACCAGAATCCAGTGACCGGGAGGAGGAGCAACTGGGGGTAGGGCTTGCTCCAGGGACGACTCACGGCTTTGGGGTCCCGCACTGCAGGTCCAGACTCTGGGAAGTGGCGATGCAGGGCATTCAGAACCTGGGCCCAAGGCCGGCCCTGCAGGATCATATCCACCACCAGCTGTGAAGGGTGCCGAGATCAGAATCCCCACGTCCGGGCAAGCTGCCCTTTTCCAACCGGTTCCACCCCCAAGCAGTCGGCCCAGGACAGGTCCTCGCATCCCGTCCCTTTCCCTTCTACCGGGTCCTACTGACTCCAATACCTTGGCCTTTAGGCCCATACACAGGCGTTCATGGTGCCGGTACCGAACCAAGCCGGGGGCAGCAGCGCGCAGGGATCGCAGAAACTCCAATACTCGCGGAAAATGCTCCACGCAGCGTCCGCGCACGACTTGCCAGCAGGCAGCGGCTGCGAAGCGAAGAGCGGCGGGACCGGCCCCAGGGGGCGTGGCCATGGCCGGCGAGCCCCACCCCAGGAGCCGTACCTTTGGGTTCCTACCTCTGGCAAGGCTTCCCGCCTCCTCCTAGGGGCGCGGTTTCCGGTGGCCCTCACAGGCTCGGCTATTTCGGTCTGCGCCAGATAGTTCGCGATCCGAGACTGCGCCCTCCCATGGGCCACCGGAATCCCGGGGTTTTCTCCAACTCGGGCTGGAGCCTGAATGGAGAAGCTGGCCAGCTCCACTGGCAACAGGTCGTTCTGCCTTAAACGCCGCCGCTGTCTCGAACTCAAAGGCTACTTCGCTTCCGGCTCCGCGACCAGTTTCCCTACCCGGGAGAAGGGTGGTAGTGGAGAACCAATGGGCCGCCGGACAGAGGAGACGTGACGGCGCGTCATAAGGCCGCGCCCCGGCAGATCCGGCGGCGCTGCCGGTCCCCGCCCCCCGCTGCCGTGCACTTCCGACGGCTGCTGGGCCGCGGGGACCGGGGACCTGGTTCCCGCCTGCTGCCCTTTCCCGCCTCCGGCCCTTTCCCGCCTCCGGCCCTTGCATTTCTTCGCGGAGCCTGCAGATAAGGCCCGTCGTTCTCTGAGGTCTTGACTTTCTAGTCTGTAAAGCGAGGCTTATGCCACTTTCCCTCTCCATCGTCTTCACCCTCTCAAATACGATTCCTTAAATCCCAGCGCCCAAACCAGCGCCTGCAAAGCCTTCCCCGGGCGGCGCGCCGCTTGCAGTAAGAGTTCAACTCTTTTTTTTTTTTTTACAGAATGGGAGAGGGCGCCCGCCTTTAAAAAATAAAATTCAAAGTTTGAAAAGATACATCAGATTGTTAATCTGTTTTTTTTCTAGATGGTGAGACTGCAGGGAATTTCTGTGCTTTTCTGTGTTTGATATCTTTCTTTTTTTTTTTTTTTTTTTTTTTTTT